TTCTCGACTCAAAACTGGCTCTGCTCGGGTCATAGATCGGCCGTTTGGCGGCCAGGACGCTCTGGGCTGCCCCCAGGAGCGCCCTCGGCGAAGCGCTGCCGCTGAACCGACGAGAGCGCCCGAAAACCTGGAATCTCGAACCTCTCGCCCCCCCGTCAACCAGCTGGGGTCCCTCTCGACCGCGCCGGGGGGGGGGGTACAGTGGAGGCCAGTCCAGGAGAAACCTTCCACAAGAAGCCCAACCCTGAGACCCCACAGGACGTCCATTGATGTTCGGTATGGGGACGTCACGCTTCCCATGGCAGAACCATCGAAACCCGAGGCACCCAGGGCACCCTGGAGGCCAGCAGGGTGCTTCCTGCCATGGGTTGCCACTGTAACTCTGACCGCCCCAGGCCCGGACGATTCGGGGCCCTGACCCTCGGTCGGGCGTGTCCCCCCCACAGGCGGATTTTGGACGGAAAGTCAAGAATAGCCCAAACATGGTCCAACAATAATCCACAACTGATATTTATATATTACACACACATATATCATATATATATATATACATATGATATATATATATATATATATACATATATATATATCATATAAAAAGGCCCCAGACTGCGGTTTACTACTGTCGAAGTTTCCTCCCGTGGAGGGACACGCCCGACTCAACCCCTGACCCCCCTGAGAAGCGCCCTTCCCCCCCCCCCGACGCTGCCCCTGAGATGGCCTCGCCGTGGGCCTCCACCTCGGCAAACGCGCTCCCGCTGGCGCCCTGGTGCTCGAACAGGAGCTCGACTGCAGAATCGAGGCACCCCAGCATCGAAATCTTCGCGCCGAAGCTACCAAAGACACGCAGAGTGCCCGTAGATCTGGGAATCTTACGCATGTCCTCTTCGCAGGTTCAACGAATGGCTCGGACCTGTTGGAACTATACGTGTTTTGTTGCAGATTCGACGAACATCTGAATTCTGGGATGACTCAGTTCTGTAGTCGATCTCCTACTCGACTCGTGCGGGACCAAAAAGATGCCCAATACCGCTACTTCCCGGACCTCTCCCGGCCAGGGGTGCGTTCTGACCGAAACATCGAGGCGAATCCTGCCGTGGCGACGAGGGCCTCCCAGAAGGATCCAACAAAAAGGGAAAACGAGGAAGTTGGATGCTCATTCTGGGGACCTTCCTGGAGACACTCGCTCCACTCGTGCGTCGAAGCTGCGTCGAACGTCCGTCGATGTTAACCGACCCTGAGTCGACCCCGAGTCGACCCTGAGTCGAACTTGAGTCGAAAATGAGCCGAAATCGACTCGAACTGGGGTCGAACTAGAGTCGAACAGATAAGCGTAAAGTAGGCCCCAGAAAGGTTCCCCAAACGAGCATCTAGTACAGAGGAAGAAACAACAGCACAAACAGAAACTTTTGGCGCTCCGCGCGAATTTCTTGGATCTGCGCTGGACCCCCAACCCAGGCGAAACCCAGGCGCGCGGAGCGAGCCAGTGGCGGCGCCGGAGGCGCCGCCGGGGCCCAGCGCAAATCCAATTCATCCGCGCGGAGGGCCAACAAAAGTTTATGCTTATGCCGTTTTTCCTTCTTCGACTCTACGGGAAGGGTCGCGGCATCGGTGCCAGCTTCCTCCTTTGATGGGCCTGTTTTCCACCACCACCATAAGTTTGAGGGGGAGGGGGTCCTCCTCCTCCTCCTCCTCCTCCTCCTCCTCCTCCTCCTCCTCCTCCTCCTCCTGTCCTCCTCCTCTTCCTCCTCCTCCTCGTCCTCCACCTTCTTCCCCCCTCCAACTTATGGTGGTGGTGGTGAAAAGAAAGGCCCATCCTCCTCCGGCCTCGAGCACGGACTGCAGCTGCTTCAGGGCGGCCAGGCGGCGGGCGCCGCTCCGCGAGAGGAGCAGCGTCCGCAGCGGGCCCCGCCAGGGCGCGGCATCGGCGGCCGCCGCGGCGCCGGCGGGGGGCGCCGCGGCAACGCCCGTGCGCCCCGGCCTGCCCTGGGCCCTCCGGCCGAAGGCGGAAGAAGAAACGTCTCGAGACGGGGCCAGGGCTGGCAGCGGAGACCGTCGGCCCGTGTCAGGGCAGAGGGCAGGCAGTCCACCCCGAGAACAAGCGGCCCGACACGCGAGGCCGTGTCGTGAACGCACCCACAGAAGGAATCGAACAGGGCAGGGGCTGTACACTAAGTGCCCAGGGCCGTTTAGTAAACGCCAGAAATCGGGTCTGGGCGGATGTTCGCCCCTTGACAGAAGGATGCGCGATGAGGGTGCAGGGGCCTTACACCCTGCGAAATGCTTTAGAAATCATGGGTTAAGAAACTCATAGTCTCAGAATTCTAATAAAAACCCAGGATGCCTATTCAAATCTTGGGATTTACATGGAAACGTTAAGAATAATCGAGACCCTGGCCGAAAACTTAGGTTTTCTTCAGCATCGCCTCAGGTGTAGAGGGCCAGTTCGAAGCTTTTCGATCGGGGCGCGGCCAGCGAAAGGGGCCAAGGATGGACCGAG